GCTCGACTCTTCTGAGTATAGGGAGACCGCGGTCTCGACAGCATTGATCGCAGCAGTGCAGATCATTATATTTTTTGCTGCTGGAGCTGCCCTGCGCTCTTCAGCTTCAATCATGGCTTGTAGTTCCGGGGGGCAGCCATTGATTTTTTGTTTCCTGCTTTCGCTACAGGAAGGTTGTTGTTTTTCAGTCGCCACTGATGAGGGTTTGCTGGCGATCTGAGCAGGTGTGGCTTGATTAGCCTTATTCACCTCTGGAATTGCTGCCTTCTTGACAGCAGGAGCAGCAATCTTCTTTGATGTTGAAATGACGGAGGTCACAGGGACCACATCATCATTTTTCTGAGCGACATTCCATCTGGATTTGTCGAGACCCTCGATTATGTATTGGTCGATAACCATATCGCCCATTTCCACGTCTGGGTTTGTTGAGTCTGAGTCTTCCTGGAAGACTCTCAATCTTTCGGTCATCTCTGACTCCATCTTGTCTTGATCTATCGTATCGATCGATAGATTTCTTGCATCTAGGCGGTGTTGCAACCTGATTTTAATTTTCGCCATGGCTTTGTGCTGGCGCGCGGGGCGAGTGATTTTCGTAGGACCCGTCGCCATTTCGGAGACTCAGGGTCTTGCGACTATGATAATGATGAAATTAGCTTGTGAAACTATGAATTGAAGGGTTGAGGGGATGGGTAGGTGAATTTTTCATCGATTTCAAAAAAAATTGTGTAATGCATGTGTGGGTATACTGGACCAAACTAGAACTCGATGGAATAGAGATAATGGAATCAGCGAGAGACTGATAGACTGAGAGAGAACGAGCTGGTCATTTCTCGTAGGAGAGAAATGACATCACAAGGGAATCTTCTAGCACTAGGCTGTGAACAACACAGTAAGTCTGGAACAAGATATAAGGAGGTCTCAACCTCCGTCCATTAGTTGTAACTAAGTTTCCTTTACACGAGAATACAGAGTCAAGTCTTACATATCACGAGAACACACGCGACAGCGACTATAGAGACCTACTGTGAGTATAACTTCCCCGAGGGTATCCATCGTCCCGCTCCTTTATAGCCTAGTTAATATAACATACTGGTAGATTTGATGAAATTAGGGTAGGAATCGATCTCATTAGGACTGAAATATTGAAATGGTAGAGTATGTTCAATTTTTTCATTATGAACTAACTTCTCTGAGATTGCGAAATTTAGCTGAATCTGGCCCTGTGAAAATATTTCACACTCAGGTTCGTAGAGGAGACCGCGTCCAGGTGTTCTGTCACTGTCCTCTGGCCTACTTGACCACCGCTACTCTGAAAATCAAGTAAATAAATTAATTCTCTCCCCCCTCGGATTTTTTGAAAATTTACTGAGATCAACATTTTTTTGGTAAATCGTTTAGACAATGGGTCTTAGCGTGCAATATGTGAGAGACGAGGTTGGATTGATAAAGAGCTGTACATACTTTGCACATGCAATATGAGTGAAACTTTTGTTCTACCTGTACTGTGGTTAGTAGGTAGAAAGACTTTTAAGATTGGACAGAGAAACATGACTGGATTACGACGCTGGAGTGGAAAATTATGATGTCGCTTGTGTCAGGGAGATAAATCACGTTGTAATAGGCAAAGCGGTGGTTCATGGGGCCATGTTTGAATTTTCGCAGCAAATTTCGCCCCGGAATTGGAGAAAATGCACTACATTTGGCTGTTATTATGTGAAACGTCTAACTGTAGGGCTTGGACCTGACACCTGTCGTCATCGGGTGGCGCAGCGCACAAGCTCAATGGACTCGGAAGAGACCGAGCTGACAGATGAATGAAGGTCTGTGCTATTGATTTGTTCATGTTATGGGTGTGTGTTTTTATTATACTACTTGAGTCTAGGACTATCAAGCACATTGGGCTCCTCTCTGGCTCAGGCCACACCTTGTACAGTGCTTCTATCCTCTTTGTTACTTGAAAGATCATTGATATATTGCCCATGATGAATAGTAATTCAGCTCAGTATTTAACCGTGGAATTCGGCCACCTTTTCCACGGAACCTTCTATCCAAAAAAAAAAAAAAAAAAAAAAAAAAGTAGCAATGGAAACTGCGTACGCGGGAAAACGTCTCAAATAACCTGTAGCCCCAGCCAGGCGAGGCCTAGACACAGGGACCACACGAGGTGCGCATATTCATCTATATCTCCCTTCTTTGTAACAGTCGAGGCCGGCTTGATCCAATCCACCATCTCCGTATCGGGTGCTGGGTACGCTCCGGAAACTCATCGGATGGCTTTTCTTCTATGAACAAGGGTTGGTGACGAGAAGGGCTTTGACGCTGGCATTTGATCTGGTCGTGGTTAGCTACATGATAGTTGTGGTAGGGGGGATGTGTTGAGAGATGAAGACGATACAGACCGCGAAAGCGATTGGGAATCCTCGTCGAAGTGAGGATTTTGTTACTCAATCTCGGCTTTGCAGACTCTACAGTGAGGGCAGGAGGTTCGTAGGAGACACCACTGACATGTGTTGAGCATAGTCCCCCTCATGTTATGGGTTGGGTTCGCACTTTCGCACTAAAATGAGAATGTCACTTTCAAATCTCTCCATAGATTTAACGAGCGGGAGCTTTTCATACTAAATCAGCGGTAGGAAGGCAGGGGAAAGGCCGGCAAAGACGAATTCTCCACCTTCTAGTTCTGCCTGTAATAGCTCGGTATGCTCTGCATATCTGGGATAGCCAGGATGAATCGCATCCGAATCATGGTTGAAAGTAAACACAAGCACGTCTCCATTCGACGACTTCTTATCAATGCCTCTCTTACCATTCTCCTCTCGCCTCAACGACCAATAAAGAAATTGCTCCAATTGCAAACAGGAGCTTGCTCTGTTAATTACCAGCCATCTCCCACTATACATCTACGACGCTATTTATACCCGCAAGGAGGAAATCAAGTCGAAAAATACAAAGCCTGGGACCTGGCTTATGGTGGACTATTGCTCTAATGGGACAAACAACTTGAGGGAGAACAGGCGTCTGAGATACGGAGCGAGAGCGTGATCAATCTTTGAAGACCATACTTGGATCGACATTTTCGAGTAGTTTTCATCTTTGGCGCGTTTGTGGGCGCTAAGACCGAGGTTTCTGATATTAAGGCAGGAGGACTTTTATAGTCGATGAGATAACGGCACTCCCTAGTGCCATGGACGGCATATAAGAAGTTGGGCTAAGCTACCATACAGCAATCACGCTCTGTCAAGACTTTGCTGACACTTCAGTACAATCTTCGGGAAGGATTTGGAAGGAGGTGTCAAACATCTAATAGCTTAGAACCTACTGAATAAGGTAATGAGAATCATTGTATATTGGGATGACACATCTCGGATTAACCTACTCAAGCTTTGATATCTCACCAGGGATATGGTGATCAGGGTGTTCAGGACAGTCAAAGCTCCAACTTGATGTAACGGCTAGTGAGCCGGTAATTACCCTGTGGCACATGATGTTAATCACGTGCTTCACAACTTTACGAAACCACTATTCTATCATAGATTAATCTGGACATCACTAGAAATTTCTAGCAACTAGTAGTAAGACTGCGAACCAGCCTCAGGGGAAAATACTAGAAACTGGTATTAGTCAAGAATATTCTAGATAGAATAGTAAGCGAATAAATAGTTGAAGTTGGACGTACATAGATAGCCATAGAGAAAATAATAAACAACCTTCGTATATTTGATCGCCCCAGCATCTATACCTCGAACCGTGACACTTGAGATCTTTTGATCTTCAACACATGTAATATATTTCATATGCAATTTTGGGAAACGAGGAGAAGAAAATCTCTCCTCGAGATAGTTTCAGATGGGTATATAGCATCACTGCTGGAGAGGAGTTGAGGAGCAGAGATTTCATCAATAAAACTTTACTTTACATTTTTCATTTGACCCTCAGTGTCTAACAGGAGGCTAGGAAGGCAGAGTGTGAATTTCAAGAGGTACACACAAGTCTGCAGCGCCCAGTTAGCGGGCCTCTTGGAACGCTTCAGAAGGGGCACTTTGTCTTCAGATTTAGTCCTAATATCGGTATAAGGAGAGGTCTGCACCAAGTGGTTCTCTCGATATTTCCCGGCTGCCATACACCCGCAAATGGCCATCGTTTCGCTGGCTGGAGTCCTTCATAGTCATAGACTCAGTAGGGACTTAAATTTAATTCTATTCTATTCTATCCGCTGGCTGGAGAGGGGAGATGGCTCTTCTAAGTGTATGACCGAATGAGGACTTGTGAGGGGCGGTAATGTTTGAGGGGAGCTGTATGGGAGGCATAGGAGGGGATATACTACTGGTATAAGTATCCTTGGCCTGTAGGCAGAGAGGACGTATATGTCCTGCATAGTCATGGACTCAGAAAGGACAATAAAATGAAAATTAAAAAAAAGGCAGCGGAAAGTACATCAGCCAAATTTGGTAAATTCAAGTGAACTTTGCAATAGGTACAACTGTCGGGAAACCGAATGGACCCTGGAATCTCATCTGGCCCTCGGAATCGAAGTTAGATGGAAAGCTTTGTCATATGAGAATCGTAATCTTCTATTTAAATGAAGTCGATATATTTGCAATTTACAACACGACTTCCGAGACGAACGGCGAGAGGTATACTGACTAGCCAAGGCCGTTTTAATGCGGAATAAGTGATGATTACCCTTTAATCATGGAAAATTACAACCTATATTGTCTGAGTACCTTCAGCAGTTGGTATTATTTTGATGAAGATGAATCGTCCTTGTGTAAATTTTATGCCAAAATGTAGGCACAGGCTGATTGGTTCTAGGAGATTAATAATAAATTTATGAGGCAATCCACACGGGAAAATCCAATCACAGGACCATTATAGAAGTTACACTTTCACTCTCTTTGTAAAATAGGTGCAAAGTGTGGGAATCATGTTGTAAACTAAAGTAACTGCAGCTAAATATAACACCACGTTCCCAGCAAATAGATGACCTCAATCCCATAACCTCATAACTGCATACAACCACTAGTGACACCTTTCATTGTTTTGACATTTCCATCAGCATAATTTGGAACAGAAATTGCTGCCACTTTCGCCCGTCCCATTCGAGATCCTGTAACTCCTGAACTCCCAACAGGATCTAATTTCAAAATGTTGCGTAGATTATTCTCCATCACTTGGATTTCGATATTTTTTTCTTTCTTCTTTCCCTTTCCATCTTGAAAGCCAAGAATCCTGTTTTCAGGTGTAATTGTACCGGTCACTTTCTTGCGAGATCTTGAAATTTCATCTTCAATTGATGAATACGAATGATCCTTGTCAGATGAAAAATGAAGATCTGTGGACCTCGATAATGTAATCTTCCGATGAGGGTCTGGTTTGTGCTTTGATGGTTTGAAGTAGGTGCTACTAGTTTTACCATTGGTGTAGCGCGGGCTATCAAGCGATTGTTGGGCATTGGCATCTTTCATATCTCTATTGCAGAGAGAAGACACCCGATTACTATCATATGTTTTAGATTGCATAGGAGATGGTGATACGGGTGTGTAATGTTGATTTTGAGAGGGAGCTGAAGCTAGATAACCTGAAAATAGGTAGGCTTTAAGTGCTTCGGAATTATTGAGAAGTTGTTGATTGCTGGGAAGTTGAAACAGTGTGTTATCCGATTTTGTTTTAGATGTACTGGCACTAATTCTTTCAGAATATGAAGATGACGTTGGTGATTCATAAGTATTCGAATTATTTCCTTCGCAAAGCTCCATTAAGAACATTGAATTTTCAGATGTTTTAGAAGTGGTCTTAGGACGCGGATGATCATTTGTATTGCCGGAGGACCCGTTTATATAACGAGATGATTTGCTTGGACATGATAGCGATTCAGAAGCAACTTGTTTTCGGAGAGAGACCCCAGGATTTTTGTCTCTTTGCTTCTGCTCTCTATCAGCAATAAAAAATAGATCTAGAGGAGATCCTTGTTTCGACTGTGGGTTTGTAGATTTGTTCATTGGAGGTGATGTTGAGTTGTGTCCAGGCTTCAATGGTTTGAAGTCTTTCAATTTCGGTACATCAGGTACAGATTTGGAATAGAAACTTGGTATGGGAAGAGTAGATGGAGCAGGTGATGCGTGGAAAGTAGGACCTGCGTAAGCCGGAGTTGTGGGGGCACTAGTCAACGAAGTTGAAATACTGGCAGAGTGAGAACCAAATTGCGGCGAGATATTTCGAGGTCTTTTTATCATCTCCGGAGAAATTATCACGTTTTTCGGTCTATTCTTGATGCGAGACTGTTGGTTTAACTCATACCCAATCTTGAAGTCATCATGATAAGAATCGGCTTTATTCTTGCATGGCGTACGAGGAGTTGTGGAATTAGAAAATGTAGTGGAACGTCTCTGGCTGTCGTAGCATATATTCTGCGTGGGTGTTTGCATATTTATGGTATTTTGCTTGGAACATTGTGAGGTAATAGCGAGCGATGAGTTTGGTACGCTTCGAGCGCAATATTTTCTTGGTGTGTTATCCATAAATACTTTTTTATGTAATTAATACAACGTGAAATTCATAGCTTTAATTTCTAAAAAATTACCTGAATTTTATTGTTGTCTTGTAGATATAATAATTAACTTGGTATCTATGAAATGAAGCAGTTAAGGAAATAGATGAGAATAGTTTTCTTTGATCGCGTGTAAGATTTTACTTTGCAATATTAGTTAGAATCAGTTCGAGTAATTGTTTGATTTTTTCATGTAATGGATCTAATAACTTCATTGCATGTCATGCGGGAGATAACAGTAAACTGTACATTAACATGAAACCGTTCGCCATTGACAACGCTATCTCAATAGCAAAGCTTTGATGACTCATCGAGGCTTAGCTTAGAAATTCCATAACAAGACTAGACATTTGAAAGGGTGGCTGGCAATGCGAAACACTAACGTCCAATCGCACTTGAATTACAATCCGTGTGACAATTTATCTAGGATTAAAGTTTAGAATTAAGAAATTCGTATGCTTATGCAAAACTTAACAATTTCGAAAGCCCTACAAGTCTAAGATCTTTTAGCCCATCGCTGGTATGGCAGACGTGGAAATGACTGATGCTCAGCCGGAACAAACAGCCCCAAAAACTAGAGGTTCAAACAAATTAATTTCAGGCGGACAAAGCGAACGTACCGCCGATGTAAAACCGAGATTTGAAGTCAAGAAGGTACGCTAAGTAGGAGAGCATGAACTTGGTGCACTGTTGACGGGGAAATAAGTGGAGTGCCGTGGCTCTTTGGGCATGGGACATTGTCGTAGATAACTGCGCTATATGCAGAAATCACATCATGGATCTGTGTAAGTCAAGATAATCTATTATACGATACATACTGACTTGCAATACGAGGTATTGAGTGTCAAGCAAATCAGGCCTCCGCAACATCCGAGGAGTGTACTGTTGCTTGGGGGATTTGCAATGTTAGTATTTTGGGTTGTTAAACGAATATGCTTTGACTGATTTTAAACAGCACGCCTTTCATTTTCACTGCATATCACGATGGCTTAAGACTCGACAAGTTTGTCCGCTTGATAATCGCGATTGGGAATACCAAAAGTATGGCCGTTAACCTAGCCAAACTGTCATAATATACGCGGAAAAAATCTGTTGGCAGCTGTTTTGGGGGCCTACCTACACCAAAGTCTAGAGTGAATCCAAGGTGGAGTGCATTAAATATATTTACAGGAGTTTTATTCGACATCATATGCGTTATACATATCTTCCAAATCGACCCAATACAGTTCTCTAAATCCATCTTCTGACCTCTTCAAAATTTAATCATGCAGAGGTATTCATGAAATAAGCCAGCTTTGGGTGGAATATTCAATATCAACATGGAATTATACCTTCCTTGAACTTATTTTGAAATGATAACCATACCATCTGGGAGAAAGTCTCTCACATGCTTATCAGAACCCTCGACTGGTAGCCATTTAACCGGATGAGATCGATAGAATGGCCATGGTGGAACGACCAAGAAAAACGTGAGCGCAGTTCCTCCTAAACCAATGTAGAGGGTTTGTATGATATCCTGACGGAAGTAACCATATAGAAAAGATACAACCTTGTAACAATGTTAGTGCTTCCAAACAAAGCCACAAATTTGGATCATACTCCAGCGACAACAAGTAGGCTCGTAGCTAACGACTCATTGAGCTTTTGCCCTTCAAAGTCCTAGGTCATAGTTAGAAATATAAGCAACTTTTAATCACACTTATACAAACAATCTGGCCTTCAGCGAGTTCTTGCACACGTTTCAGCGTTAGTTCGGCCATTTCATATAAGTTGTTTTGCGGAGGGAGTCGTTGGATTCCAATGAATGCGATCAAGTTGTTTATGAAGGTTATCCGTAGATCACGCTCAATGGTACAACCAGATCTTGACCGGCTGTTGACAGGTGACTTCTTGTGAACCCCTGTAATTTGTCACTGCTATCGAGGATTGAGATAGCGCCTGGGCTTTTTCTCATGGGGGTCATGGGTCCCAAATAACTTCTCAACAGTATCCACAATGTGAAGAAAGCGCGCGAACTAATAAATCTAGCGGATTCCAGCATTAACCCCACTTTCGCAAGCCCACTTCCTATCAGTAGTTCCATTCTCATAAACTCCCATAACCGACTAATATTTCATGATAAGTCAGGCATAATCTTCTTCTGCAATCGAATTCTGAATCTATGTATTATTAATACTCATCACGGCTCCGAATGTCAAAATTGAATGCAATCCCTCAAACCACTGTGGACACCTACCAGATTTCACCTGTACCAATATCACAACACGGCTTCTCAACCGTAAGATATAGGTTCTTTTTAGCTTTTTTTGTCTGCTGCTCTCAACTGCCTTGTTGGCTTTTCAACTGCAAACCACCAAATTGGCGGGGCTCATTATCTGTCAGTTCTCTCTCATCCGACCGCTATTAGGCCCGAAGAGCTGGGCTTACTGCGGAGGTGACAAGAATCCTCCTTAAATTGCATTTGGAAAGCCCAAGTAACTTCATACTTTTACGACGATAATCTATCACTTCTCAAAAAAAAATATAAATTTTCGTCTCTCCCCGCCGCATTTTGATAAATAAAGGATACTGCTATTGAAACAATACAGTTTATTGTGGAGAATACAAGCTTACTGCAAGCAAGTAAGACAAAATAGACGGAACTTCCGGATAACAAAAATTACGACCCCTTCAAGCTCAGAAAGCAAAATTACCAGTGACCACCAAAATCTAGCACCATGTCTGACCTTGAAAATGAAATTCTGGGCTCTAGCTTTAGTGCCCCTGTACCAGAACTTGACGATCATACTCACCAAATTCCTTCCATTCAAAGACCACGTTCTAGACATGACACTTCAGAAACCATTCACAGCACAAATCAGCGAAGAATACAAATTCATGAGTTATCGCGACCTTCCCATGACCTTTCACCCATCATTGCCCGAGATCTTGAAGAAGCTTTAATTTTGGAAGATGAAGAGGGTGTTGCTCCACGAGCAGATAAAAGCCGGCGTGGTACTATTACAAACTACGATGGGCGCGCAGCCTCGCCACCAAACTCGGTCAAAGCATTTGCCGATGCCCGACGCCGCGAAAGGGAGCTCTCGTTGCCAGACGTAAGTAACTCAAGATCATTTATTGAGCGACGTCTCGAGGAGTATGATCTTCACAGAGCTGCTTCGCGTGATAGTAGGAGAAGCTATCGCAGCCGGCGCAGTAAAAGATACACAAACGAAAATGAAGCGCCCAGCTTTATTGGCTCAAGTAAATCTGCGGAAGATGATGTTTGCTTTCCACTACATATGACCGGAGACAAGGATACTCTACACATAGATTTTGAGATACTAGAAAACTTTATCGCCGACGAAGAGAGTCGCGATAAGACTCCGCCAATTGGCCAACCTCAAGCGCGAGTTTTCCATGACCTGACTCACCAACAACAAAATGATGCACCGCTAGTATTCACAGCTCAAGGAGACATTCTTAATGTGCCATCTCTAAAATCTTTTGAAATGAGTGAAAAAGAATCTACGAACAGTGAAAAAGCAGTAGCTGACACACAACGTCACTTTGAAAATAGATTTGAATTTTTCTCATCACTAGGCGAATCAACTATTCACGCTCCTGAGTTTGGTGATCTCGTTCTTCCTGGAGAAGACGTCCGTAGTCTTTTCACATTTCCCAGAGAAGAAGATATGGATGGTGTTTGGTGGCTCAACATGAACAGTCCAACCGATGAGGAAATCCGGACCATCTGCAAAGCATTTGGAGTCCACCCCTTGACCATCGAAGATATTGGTACACAGGAGGCCCGTGAGAAGATTGAATTATTCCCGTCTTACTATTTTGCGTGTTTCAGATCATTTCACGTTGAGAAGATTGATGGAGGCCAGCAATATGAACCTTTTAACATATATGTTGTTGTATTTCGAGAAGGAACACTCAGCTTTAGTTTTTTTCCTAATCGACATGCCGCGGATGTGCGCAAGAGGATCACTATGCTCAAAGACTACGTTTCACTAAGTTCAGATTGGATTTGCTATGCATTAATGTGAGTACATAACCTCAATTCAGAAAATAGGCACTAATAACTATAAGTGATAACATCGTAGACTCCTTTGCACCTGTCATATCTAAAATAGAGTCTGAGACTGATCACATCGAAGATGAAGTCTTTATAGCTCGTAACGACGATATGCACACATTCTTGCGCAAAATTGGGATGGTGCGCAAGAATGTTATGGGTCTCATGAAATTGCTTGGCGGAAAAGCCGATGTACTAAAGGGCTTCACCAAACGATGTAATGCAAACTACAAAGTCACTCCAAGAATGGATATAGGACTTTACCTTGGTGACATTCAAGACCATGTAGTTACCATGATGACCAACTTGGCTCACTTTGAAAAGATGCTTTCTCGATCACACAGCAACTATCTTGCTCAGCTTTCAATCGACAATATCACTCAGGGAAATCACGCTAACAACGTTCTCAGCAAGATCACCCTTTTAGCATCTATACTCGTTCCTCTGAATCTCGTCTGTGGTATGTTTGGCATGAATGTCAAAGTTCCATGGAGAGATACCGAAAGTCTTAGTCCTTTCTTTGGAATCCTAGGACTTTTATTCTTACTCACTGTTGTCTCGCTATACGCTGCGCGAAGACTTCGATTTATTTAGTCATTGGCGCTACAAACTATGAAGTACTGAGATTAAAATATTTTTCATTATTTTGTAGGTGAAATCTTCTCCCAGTCCGCGGTATCCTTATTTCCAGAATAATGGAACATATGGATTCGTCGACAAGCGAACTGAATTATGCACATAAGTCTAACGATACTTATATTTAGATTCTTTTCAATCAACCGTATACCAATTCAGAGGCTCTACCTATTAAGAAAAGGAATAATCACTTTAATGCTTATTTAATGATGGCCTATTCAAACATTTAATCTGTAAATTTTACAAACTTGTTAACTATTTTAAAAGTAGGTCGCTACAACTTGTCAAACGACGCCAAACGGAATTCTACTGGACACATGTGCGTTGATGGATTTTGTCCATTCTTTTGCGAATTTCTACTCGTTATTGCCTCACAGGCTGTACAACTTAAAGCTCTGTTCCCAGGTGGAATATTTGCATCATCTTCCGGTAATCAAAAAGGGTTTTAAGAGGAGCAAACGGGGGTAAAAACCTGGACTTTTCCGAAGTATTTTTGTACTACATTTGACGAGGCTAATTCAATCGGACGCTAGGAATACCTAAATTTCACATGAAAGCCCCAGAGCTTAGCCTTGTATCTCAGCAGTTGAGATACATACCATTTGAACCAAATTGCTTAGTGGCGTTTAAATTGGGACGTGATTGGGAAGGCGTTAAGGTTACCGGATCCTTGCCTTCGTCGGCCTATGTATCCTGTGTTGACGAAAGCATCCGCTTTTCTGTCGCTGAAAAAATTTACTTTCCCTTTTAGTTAAAAAAACTTCATCACAAAGTTAGGAAGATTTAGCTATTCTTAGTATAAGATTTAATCGCTTACTAATATTGGGTTGCAAATGTCTAAAAAAGCAAATTAACTTTGTTTTAAGTCAGTATCAAACCACCGACTTTGATAAATAATTAAAATTTCAAGGATTTTGTAATTTTCAATGGCTTGCGCTCACAACAATTGGGGATATTTTCGCAACACTTTTTTGCATATTAGATAGAGTTGTCGCCATCTCTCATCTTTCACTTTCTTCATAATCTATAATATAGAGTGATTATATCTTGTATTTAACTAGTCTGCCTCATCAAGTAAGATGCAAATGATCCCGGAACATTTCGGAGATGAAGTGTTAAGAATTCTAGTTCTACAGAATCATATGTCAAGGAATAGATGAATGGAAAAATGGAACAAATATGAATGCACGTTGAATTTCTGGCGAAATAGTTAAAACCCTTGCCCTAGAAGAGTGAATTTGAACAAGGTCAACTTTAGCACTCTCAATCACGTTTGGCGTGCAGGGCCATGTAGAGTGGAAGCAAAAGACTAGGCAGGATCAGTTTATATGAGCTCAATTAGACAATTGCGCGTGTAACTCATTCCGGAAATACAATTCTCCTTTTCCAACTCTCAAGGACTGTGTTAGTATAACACATTAAATGGTCATGTGACTATGTCACATGACCATGTTAGCATGCAAGGATTACCCCTAGCTGTACTTCATAGTATGAGATTAGATATAGAGAAAAACAATCGAAAAATCGAATATATCCTAGCTTTGCCTACTCCAGTAGAGATTTGATATCACCCTGTAACCCAAACAGACTGTTCCGTGGGAAAAATATTACATTCTTCTCCTTCTATATTCCGTAAAAGCCACAAGTTGATATTTTTTTAATCATATTGTATTCAGTTAGCTAGCTATGACAATTTATTTAACACACATTCAAAGCAGATACAAATCCTCATTATGTCTCCTTTCCTCCATCCTACTCTCTTCTTTTCCGTTATGTTTTGTCCTAATTAATTGTACACAAGCTGATCGTCTGCATTAGAAGTATAAGGAATTGGCATGCTCGAGAAGGATCAGGATTCGAAGGTGCATGAATGCCAAACATTTAATCTAGTGGCACAAGAGCGATTACCAACACATCGCTAAGTTCAGATACCTCGTCAGAATTCATAGGCTTGCAGGACCAATCCCAAATTGAGCTGCGTATAGCGAGCTGGAACCTGATGCAACTATTGCCCACTTTGTCTACGGTTTAACCGAATAGATATCCTTCCACGCGACAAATCAGAGAAATGAAGAGAGAGAGCGACTACAAGCCAAGACCTTTTTGCTTGGAATCCCGCACAACTATGGGAGCCCAATTATCCGGCCTTGAAGTACTCTAATGAGGAAATTGTATCCATGACAGTCGTGGCGTAGTCACGAGTGGGCTACTGAGCTTGAACATGATGAGCCTGGTCAATCCTGCTCAGAAAACTCAAGGCAGCGCTAGCGTTTGGGAGAAGGCGCTGAAACATTAGACACAATTAGCATCGGCATGCGGGGAAAACTCATGTGCCATGCTGAGATAGACATGGGTGCCTGCATTGGTCCGGTCGGAAAGTGATGGTCTAGCGAAGATCCCTGTATGTTTCAATAAGACGTTAGTTTTGATTCGGTCGGATTCTCGGGCATCGTGTCCGGCCGGACGATGGAGCGAGACATTCGATAGCGTTGTAGCTACTGCTTTGCAGATGCCACATGTGATAGCTGAGGGGGCGGAAGATTGCCGGCTGCCCATGCTAATTATTCTTGATATACTTGTGACTTCAACTACCGGTAGGGCAGGCCATCATATCGGTCTTTGTCCGGCGCGTATGGCGCCGTAGAAGTTGCCAGAAGGTTCCAGAATTGGAGTTGACGTGTTACCGTACCGTTGTGTTAAGAGACAAAGTTATGCGCTTGTTATTCGTCCAGGCATCCGTGGCATGAATGACGAATTACATGCCAGCCCATGGATAGATTGTCCAAGTACAACAGGCGGGGCAGATCACAGACGCGGCTCGGAAAGCAAGGGAGACGTACGGCCAGTGCGTCGGGCCCGAGAAATGACCATGATGCCATACCCACCGCCAAAAACCGTGGGAATGCACGTCCTCATGGTTACCTCATGATACACACCGAACTGAGGGGTGGAAGCGAGGCGGCTTTTTCCAGGATGTTAACCTACCACGTAATACAATCTCGTAGACACAACTGTCAGGCTTTTTCCGAAACTTTCATGTGTAGTGTGGGTGTTTTGTCTGCATGATGAATGACTCTTTTGATTGCCACTTATACTCTGCCAGCCACGCACAAATGCGACAACGAGGCGTGTGGCGTGGGCCTGTTGAGCGGCAAATCTGGGGTTGGAATCCTTGGATCCATACAAGTGTTGAGAGATGCATCACTTGGCCAAGCGAATACCCATGTGTCAGTTTTTCCAAACTGTTTGTTGGGGCGAGTACTCAGCACCCAACGGCAGCGTCCCTTACGAGCCTCGACCTCTCACTACCGAGTCTGCAAAGCCGACGTTCAAGCCAAGCCCCGCGGTATCCGCCGTTACCCCAAGCGGCACGACGAAGTCGGGCTAGGCTACTTTGCAGTGGCCACTCGCTACCAAGGTTATTCGAGTTTCCCAATGCGACCTCCAACTCGCCCCGGGGCGTGAATGTTGGAAGCATTCGGGCAAGTCAGCTGCAAACGCTTCACAGGGATAGTTGTGTCTAGTTGTCACGTCATGATTTCAGTGTTATTGGAGCCCCGCACTCATTGGCTTTTGCAAGATTTCCTACCTGCCATGTCCCCGCAATGGGCCTTCGCCTCCATGGCTCGCGAGGAGAGACGCTGAAAGCCCAACCGGCTCCTCCAAGTGTATGATTAAATAAAGTTGAGGGATCTCACTAGTCGATGAGAGCTGTATGTCAGATGCGAGGGAGGCTGCGCCATCTGTGTTATGCATATTTTTGGTTCGTAGATGATAGTCATCTACATTTCCACTGCAGTCTCGGATCAAGGGAGCATAAACACGAAAGTAGACCCAACAACAGGCACATCAGCGTCTGCGTATGCACAGAGATAGTTGAGAAATATAAATCTACAATGCATTAATCAACGCCATTTACTATGAGACTGCTTTGTTGGCTACTAATCTCACCTGTCCAGGCCTCCATAGCGCACACACACAAATGTTATTAATTTTATGATCCGGATAGCTGCCGACTTCAGATGCTGATAGTGATTAATCCTTTGCGACCTGGTTTTTGGAGTGACTTGCAATCGCCAATGTTGCCTGTCGAGTTGGCCTGCAGAAATTAGTGCCCTAGCCTCGACCGTATCTCCTAATCGGAGCGAAAGTACGGTAATCTGAAGACACCCCATGGTGCCTAGCTAATCTACTTCATGCAATACACGACCTGCCAGAAACAGCCCAAGATAAATTTTCAGATTGATAGACAACGGCGCCCAAGACCAACCCGAGTCAAGAGTTGGAGCTAGTTTCCAGGCACCCCTGGCATTCAAGCAAAAGATTTACAATGTGTCGTAGAGTAATAGTTGCTATAGCGACCCCTTCGTGTATCACTATTCTTAGTGTCACGTTGGTGCGGGAACTCGAAGATTAATGGGCTACAGGAAGGTTACAGCACATTTCGTACCTATTCAAAGGAGTAAAAAAGCGCAAATTAGACTAAATCCCTCATACGTGGTAACTAACACCATCCTGGGCAAAACAGAAGGAATGTGGATTCTTATAAAACTCATGAATGTAACACCATCTCTTACCACCATCTGCCTTTGGCTATGCATGTGCGGAATATTCAGTGTAACGGAGGCATTTAATATAGTGAGGATTGTATCATTGATACTCAAGGTTCAAGAAAATGACCAAACAGACTTCCAACTAGCTTAATAAGCCCTGTTATTGCACTGGCGATAGATTAGTTTGCATGGGAAAGATATTGGCCTCAATGGAAAGGCGACACGGTGTTGAGCTATAACAATCTATGACTCTTGAAAAGCAACGTCAAGATTACTTGGCAACTCGTCCGCGCGAGGCCCGGTACAGGTAGAAAAGCAGCATGTTGTCAAACATCTAGAGGATAAAAGCTTTGTATTTTCCTAGCCAAACATTCGTAATTACGATGAAATTAGAGTGTGCTGAAACTCCCGGAATCACAGATTGTAATCTGAAGTAGGTATCTTTGGTTCTGGTGGCGTTCATTAGGTTTAGTTTCTTGCTATTAAAATAAACTTGGGTGGAAGAGTCGAGGACGAGGCCTGCTTGATTCGATGAGAGTAAACTTCAGGAATGTACAGCGTCTAATAACAGATGGACTGTGGGAGAAATGTACTGGTAAGTTAATGTTGAACTGCAAGATTTTGAAAGGTCCTGGTCGGGTCCTGATCCTAGGATGTTTACTGTAGTCCAAGATACCATCCGGGTCCGCCTGGATACGCTAGAGTTTGGAATCGACCTCTACGCTGTTAGGCTTCCGCAATTTCGGGAGGGGGATTATCTACGCCTTCCTCCTTCACCTGAGACAAGAGTCGGTACTTGCGATGGCTCTTCTTCGTTGCGCTAGCCTTTCGTTTGGTCTTGGTCGCTTTCAAGACGGCCAGGCGACTCTCCTCGCCCTTCTGTAGTTGCTCCACCCGTAGCGCGAGCTTCTCGCGCGCAATCTTCCGATTCTGGGCACGCGAGCGCGTCTCTTGCACCTTGAGCACAATGCCTGTAGGCAAGTGGCGTAGCTGAACGGCTGACGAGGTTTTATTCTATCGCGCGTTGCCATTTAGTCCAGACCAGGACGAAACGAGAAGATGCCCTAGAGGCCAGTACACATACAATTTTCTGGCCGCCCGGCCCGCTCCCCTTGAGAAAAACTTCGGTAAATTCATCTTCGTTGATCAATGCCGGTCTGTCAGGCATCTTTTTCGCTCTCGTGGCCAGTGAGCTGGTAATTGAACGGCATGCACACAGTCGCTGAAAGATTGTTGCAGCTAACGCCTTCCCACGAAATTGTCGAAAAGGCATGCTGTACACCGTACAGCTTTTAATTTCGGCTTGTAGATATCGCCCAAATGAAGCACTCAGTTCGTCTTATGCGGTAAATTGGACTTAGCTCATCTGTGCACGTGATAAAATACACCCCTAAACCGATCTCATCCGCCTCTATATTAACCCAACCCCGATCACTTGTCGACACTGGCACCCATGCACTTGTAAACACTATGGGTCTACTTGCGTCACTTTTTCGATGGCTACAATTGAAACGCTATCAATATGAGGTGTGTCTACTTACTACAGTATCCGGTAACTGTTAGTGGAAACTAATTGTAATTAGGTTACGTTCTCGTTGTACATGTTAACTCCAACGGAGAAATTTATTTTCAGTTAGTTATTGCTCACACACCTACCCTCCTCAAACTCACAAACAAACACCTCATTTTTCGCAGACATTGTGTTATCTTTGTTCATTAGAAACCTGTGACTGACTCATTACTGCAATAGACTCTTTTCTCTTCCTCTTCTTCAGCATGATTATCATCGCAGCAACACTTTATCTTCCACACCACTTAGCCTTCGTTACTAATCGCGCCTCTTTTTATTATAATGGCCCTGAAATCACCAAAGCCACTGTCCATTCTCTGGTGGAAAGCTCTGACCTGACCTGATGTTACACTTAAATTAAAGTCCTTTCCTGAGAATAAATAAGACTTTAATTAAGTTGTTAAAAGTTGCAACCTGCTACCGTTAGACGCCCTAATAACTCGGAGTAACGTCAAATTCAAACTTCACTTTTCTCATCCTCATGAACAGTGTCAAACAAGTGCTCAACTACGTTGCCCACTGAATTCTTCTCACCATCGGGAACGTCGGGATCTCTAAAAAAGAACATTCCACTCGGTATTAGATTGAAAAACTAAATCGAAGATCTCAACAACCCCTATTCTCAATACATTAGCGTGCCTACCTCGACACGACAGGCTTAAATTGTTTTAATGTAGAGTAAATGAGACCAGGCATGCCAGTTACTCCCTTCTGTTCTAGAGATTGCAGCATGCCTAATCGAAATTCTTTCCACGAGATATCCAACCCACCTTTTAACTGCAGTAATTGTAATGAAGCCGGAGTAATCACTCCCCGATGCTTCTCAGATTGGTTCACGCTTTTCTCTTTTTCCTCAAGATATGAACGGGCCATTAAAAATGTGACGGGTGATAGGGAAAGCCCAAACATGGCACTTAACTCAAATGAATTTCCCAAATAGGCGACATAATCTTTCAGGGTCTTCTGAACTTGTGAAGACAAAAGGCACCCTAGAGCGTTTGTGTCTGAAGTATTAAAGGCTTTAGAATGCCAGAAACAATTGCAAAGATCTACAAGACAACTATTCAGTCTCATGATTTGCAATCGTGCTGAGTCTATTTTATCCTGGGTGATGTTTGTGTCAGAATTTCCTTGATCCACGATTAACTGAAATGCAGTCTTGTATGTTACAAGCATGGCGCAAACTCGATCCAAGATACTTATCGATAATGTGAAGCACATCATGTAGATAGCTTCCAGGGGAGGAATAATTAGATCAAGCTTATTTCTAAGACGGGTGTTACCGGCAAGGAAAGATGCTGTTTCGTAGAATTTCAGAGCAAATGAGATGTTCGGAACATCGTGGTTGGCTTGGATTACGGTTAGCGCTAACTCATTAGCATGCACTACAATAGCATTGATGGTTGACGCGGCAGCCTGTGATTTCTCTGGATTTGCAAGGAGACAAGCGAACCAATAGCGAAGAAGATTAGAGTAGAACCCGAGAATGGCAAGCTTGGACTCAATCCCTTCATCTAAAATTGCTTCTTCAAGGCGCCTAAATATGGAATCAAGGACACCTAAACGTAAAGTTAAAGTTTTACAAAATAATTTTAAATTTGTTGTACAACACTTACTCCGAGAGGTATCAAGAGGTAAGTAGGCGAGAAGATTGAGGATAATATCTCGCCCTTGAATACCATCCCATGAGGTGAGCATAACATCAAAGTACTTTAAACATGCTGAGGGTAGTATCTGTGCGTATTTTAGCTATATTCTCAAGCTGAGTTATGCCACTTACTTTGGTGTATTGTGTGTAGTGGAGAATTGCCTGAAGCATCTCAACTATTCTGCTTGTTTCCCATATGCGACACTCAAGCTCTTCCTCAAAAAACGCTAGGAGCCAATTGTCTATTCTTTCAAAGCAGCTTTCCGATGGCTTAAGCAGCAAATATTTTTGTATGATAGGGGTACCTAAAACCGCGACTAGCTGATTTGGAGCTTCAATATTTTCTAAATTATTCACAAGGTCGGGAAAGCCTCTCATGTCTTCCAAAATAATTGAGTTCTATCTTGTTAGAATCTTTCATTAGGATGCTAGGCGGTCTTTACTTCTCGGGTATTTGCCGTATAAGCTGAAGGGATTATTGACGAAATTTTTTGGAATCCAACTGCAACATTCTTGTCTTCTGTCGAAAATATTCGTTCAGGAACAAGTATATCTTACGGGGCACACTCACTCTGAATTCGAAACAGTCTTTCTCGCCACTCTTGGTCTTTTTCCTGTCGGTAGTGAACACCCTTAGAAGCTTCTCAACTCTAGAGACGTACTGTAAAAATGTTGGAATTCCCTGGAATCATCGGACCTAGAATAATATCTGGAAATTGGCCCTTAAATACCTGCATAAGTTTAATAAGTGCAGACTCATTCCCAAATTGTCGATTCAGCTCCATGCTTTACTCTAATTAATTTATTTCTTTGTTTATAATGTATTCTTGCGCATAAACTCACAGAAGTTGTATTCTGAAGGGTTGGACATGTTTGCGTTGTGTAACCAAGCACAAAAGTTTACATATATGAGATCTATGGAACGTACTGTGAGAATATCTGCCACGTAAACTGTAACAATGGATGCATACCTTATTGCAACCGTATCAAGTAAATTAAATAATACACTGTAAACTTTTGAGAAAGCTTTGTGATCTTCGATTATGTCATAAATAAAGGCGAGCCATTTAAGCAACGCGGATTGTGTCGTAAACAAAGGCTTAGACTGGCCGTGGCCGAGAGAGCTGACAACATTGAAAATAATATTACTTGGAACTTTGTCAGTGGGATATAAGTTTAATATGAGTTTACATCGACTCGCTTGGTCGAGTTCATTTGGAAGTGTGATTATGTCGATTATTCGACTCAACACGGTATTCGAAAGCCCTTCTGCGGAGAAAATAAGGCATACGTGCTCCACGAGGTTGGATATCTTGATTTTTCGTTGTGATGGCGGCTTGAGGGAGACTAAAGGTGCATCAGTGAAAGCGCATCACTCATCGCGTGATCTTTCGGCGTCCCCTTACGCTGTTCGAGTAATTCAGTAGCATCATCGATATTTCCATATTCAGTTTCCTGAACAGACATTACGAAAGAAGTTACTTAAGCGATATAGGTGGTCACCCTGGAATGAAGCTGAATATAATTTGGCGATGAGTTAGTCTTGATCAGCGATTACTATGTAAAGGTCGGAACAGAATCTTAGCTATCCGGCCTCTAAATTCTCAGCTAGTGCACTACAGGTTCTTGGGTGTACAATAGAAGAGGTTCAGTTCCTAGGCTACATAAACTGACAAAAATAATGTTACAGCAAACTTCCTCAATAACAAGGCTTGATAATGCATTGTTTTGTGGGTGCCTTTTCCTGCTAAACCCTACTAAACAAGCATTCACAATACATCGGTTATTTACTCAAAAAATTTCATTTGTATGCGGCTATCAAGCAGTAAATATGATCATTGCCGTGTGTACATGTTGGAAACCTCCTTTGACTATCGAGACAATATACTTCATAAAGTCATTTGTTATTGCTACTTTTAACTCTGTCTCTTCACTCTACAAAATTGATACTTTTATCGAAATATCCATCAAAGGGATGCATCAAACCTATTTGCTACTCAAGCATGACTTCAAAATTCTACACGATAAATTTAAAGTAGTATAGCTGGGGTTTGCTCGATTTGAATTGGTCATTTCATATCTCGAGTGGGATGGTCGTCTATCATTTAGACTGCTTGTGGCAGACCGGCCCAAATGATATGCCACTACACTATCTGACCATAAACTTGTTTTGGGTATCTCCTGCACTCCTAGCAGCGAGCACTATGGGCAAATAATATAGATCCAAGGCCAACTGCATCCTCCTATATTTCAAATTTTTTGAAATGACATGTACTCAATCATTTGAATAAACTGTTGACAGTCATTTCACAAAAATTTATAGGCATGAGTGAATCAGAATTGATCTGTTATCCAAAGTAGCGATATGACTTGGGAGCTATAAAGGTCCTAATTTGTCAACACTACTGCTCCTGATCGGCATCTCGATGAAAATTATTGAATACACCCTCTGTTGTGACTGAGTCACGGCCCTTGGAAAATAATTCACTCGCGGTTTGTAGAGGACACCACTGACAGGTGTTTAGCCTCCGTCCTCTACCAATGCATTGGCTAGGCGAGCATGTATATAGTTTCATAGATATACCCACAAGAAGAGGATACAGATTTTGTTACGGCGAGGGTCAGATGATGATAAGATCGCCGTCTGCTAAGATTGGAGATGGGTGGTCGAATGAGCTGGCGAGATACCAGGAGGTCAAAACTGAAGAACTAGAAGCTGGGACTGGAGGACGAGAGATCAAGACGAGTAGAAAGACGAGTGCGATTTTCGGACTATGGAGATATAAGATTGAGAAGCTGGAGAACTACTTCGTGGTAACTCCAGCTTCCTTAAGTACACTAGACTACGTAATGAATTTCAACTGAGGCTTTGGGATCATTAGGTTATGACTCCAGCCCGTCTAACTCTAGCTTTCCGAGTTTCCTGGAAACTTAGTTATTGAACCTTCCCCGAGATCCGTTTCCCGAGAACCTTCTCCTTAACCCTTGTCCTTGAACCTTTTCCTTAGAACCTTATCCTTGAACTTGCCTCAAGGATGCCTAGCCATAACAGATTTAGTCTTCTACTTTCTGTTCATATACCTACATTATAGTATTGTATGAGTCTCTTCACTGTCAGCCACAGCTAATCATATCATCCACTCCTCACTACTCTGTATTATAACTTTCGCATTGCTCCTAACCACAATTCCTATTAGAAGTTAGAATGGTTGGGGCTATCAAGTAAGCCACGTTGTTGATACACAAGTGACCACAAATTCTGTCCTTAGTTTCACTTTGGTAGTTACTTGAACCGATGTGCTCTACAACCTCGACGACTGAGGGGTCATTATTTCCTTAATTATTTCTATATTTACATCTACGACCGAGATCCTAAATATTCTCGCATGTTTGTTATACTTGGTAATAACGAACCACCTATTATTTGCCATAATAAGACAATGTACACTGCAGCACGTAAATGTCTAAATATATGTAAAAGTGTAGGTGGAGAGTAAAGACAGAAAATCTGTCCGCGGTGTCCTTTAAAATTCTGGGAGTGAAATATGTTCCCACAGCCAAGTTCAGTCAAATTTCGTCATACCAAAGGAGTTGGCCTACGAGGCAATGATTCAAGACATTCCACCAAATCAATCTCTTCCTCCTAACGAGTTCAATCCCCATCCAGGCATCATCAGTTTTACAAGTACGACCCAATACATCCATCTTTCAATTAATACATCTCCCGTCAAATCAGTCTCTAGCCTCAAATGGCTTTCATATAGAAGCCCTCAAGAATATGAATATCCACCTAGTGAGAAAAATGTGAAAGGCAGATTTACAGGATGGGCGAGAGAGAGATCAAGACAAGTGGGCGAGATGATGTAAAGGTTTGATAAAGTCTTGAAAGGGTTGAGGTATTGAATTTTGGCAAATAGTTTTACAAATTTAGGATCATTTTGCGTACCAAGCCTTCTACTGCGGGAGTGCAGCTGCCAGAATAAAGATTACTATGGTGGCATTGATGCGGGCCGATCTCCCAAGTAAGATTTAGACAGCCTGGACACATTCTACTCGACATAGGAGATCGCTGGTTCGAGTCAAGCAGAACATTAACACATTTCTCGCGCCGCTAGTATGCATGGATGACTAAGACCACCTTAAAAAATCAAAAGTTTTGAAACTACCATTTGGCAAGTACTCACAGAGGAGGGTTGACTGTTTTAGCAAGCAAGTATATCACATAGTCAAGGAATATAAAACTTTCTAGATCCGCCTTTTCATCAAGGATTACCCTTCAACACATGCTACAAACCAATAAATTAGATTTTCAGTTTCGCGTCAGTGAGAGCTGCAAATTGATATATTTTTCTATATTTGCATCACCTTAGTTCGGTAAATTAAGGCAATTTCACAAATATTCTATTTTTTTATTTATCTTTATTTAACGTCTGGCGGATCACGCGTCAAGCGAGTAACCTCACAAATATTCAATCAACTTGACTGAAAATTTCACCAGACATTGCCAAGCCTCAGCACGTGACGTATATCACATGATTGAAGCGTGATCGTATGATCATAGTTCAAGTCACGTGAATCTTTAATTCTGGTGATTTCTTTGAAAAATAAATATATAAAAAAAATAAAAAGGAAAAAATAAAAAAAAAACTTGAATACCAATTTGCATAACTCTGACTTCAGATATATCTATGTATGATCCTAGGTCTCCATCCTACAATCAGGCCGAAGAGTATAACCCAGAATCCCCAGTTATGGATATAGATATCTACCAAGGGCCACAATACACACCACTAAACCGTCAGGCCATAGAAATGGACTTTCCTCCACTTCCCCCATGCCCAAAGAAGCTCAGATTGAACAACATGAATGCTGCGATGGACATGAGTAGTGATTCAATTGCTGGCCCATCTCAACATTATCAACCTGCAATAGTTAGTAGTTCTTTAGCTGCCTCTCCAGAATCAAAATCATCCCTGAAAGGCAAAGAAAAAGAATCACTATCATCTTCAAGATTTGCCCAGCCTGCCTCATCAACTACAGAAGCATGTGAAACCACAAAAACAGTCTTATTGAAAGCAAGAGACCTAATTGTAAAGGCTTATGACCTAGCTACCAGTAGAACTGGGCAATCTCAACTTTTGGATCTTCTAGAAGTATTCAGGGAATACACCGAAAAAGGAAACCTTTGCAAAGCATCAACCATAATTGCAACACAGGTGGCCAATCTCGAAACTGCAACTAGACAAATAGAGATCAAAGCTAGAGCACTTGAAAATTACTCTACATCAGGTGCCCCCTCAAATCAACCAAGGCCCTCAACCCAGCAATATAACCAGTCAAAAAACTAACCCAAAAACCAACAAGCAACTATGGTGTTACGGCGTGCGCTAAGGATACTGGGGATCGCCGTCTGCTGAAGGTAAGGTATTAATAACTGTTAGGATTACAGTTGCTAACGAAGGATACTTAGATATGATTCGATTGGCGAGGTGCCAGGTAGTCTAAGGTTGTGGAACCACAGAATAGTCGAAAGACACGAAGTCAAGAAGTCGAGTTGCCGAGCAGGCGATCAAGAATGATAACTCAGGGTGAACAGAAGTACGAAGAATGTAAAAAATAACGAAAGACTGAGAATATCGGACTGTGAGAATATACAATTATAACATTATGTAAATCTAGATTGCAAGATCAAAGATTAAAAGAATGAAAGATTGAGAAGCTGGAGAGCAACTATGTGGCAGCTCCAGCTTCCTTAAGTCTAACTCGAGACAGTACTTGAACTCAACTAAGACTATGACAAATGCCGTCATGACGCCAGCCCCTCCATCTCCAACTGTCAGAGTTTTCTCGGAAACCTTCTCAGTAAACCTTTTCCCAAAACCTTTCTTAAAACCTTCTCATATCACCTTTTCCTTAGAACCTTCTCCTTGAAACCTCTTCAAGGATGCCTAGCCATAACATATGGCTTCTATGGCTGCTAGGGGAGTAGGGATGTCCACTGACCTACTTCAATGGACAGTCGCAGGAAAGAAATCCCAGGTTAAACAACAACAATTCCAGCAACCACTCCAGTCATAACCAGAGGATATAAAAAGGGTGATTCTAGTGCAAGATCCCGAAGCCCTAAGCAATTTTATACCTTTACATGCAAGAAACCAAATAAATCATGTATTTGCAGCCAATGGCATCAAAGGACCAGTAGTCAACACAGTTGTGAAAACGCAAAGCGGTAACGTAGTGTCACGGACTAAAAGCCTATTTTGGGTCAATAGGAAATTTGTATGAAGATATCTGTGGTATTCTGCTATATTCTATCCTAATCTGTTCTGTTCTGTTCTATCCTATCTTACTCCATTCCATTCCATTCTAATCTGATCTGATCTGATCTGTACTTGTCTAGACTATTCTATTCTGTATGAGAGTATACTGGAAAGTTCGAGAACAATAGAGAGGAATATATAATGGGT